TATTTCAAAAAATGATAAAAAATAATATTCATAATTTTTTGAACTTTAATTAATAATTGAATTATTAATAAAAGTACTAAATAGGTAAAGATAATTTTGAAGGAATAAATAATCTTAATTATTTCAAATTTTAGGATACTTTTATATATTAAATTTATTAAATTATAAATAGAATATTCAAAAAATTTCTAGAATAATTTAATATTAGTATGAAACAAATATAATTAGAAGATATATGATTTTTTTTTTGTTTTTTGAAGACTTTTATTTATATAAATAGAAAAATATAAAAAAAAAATAATAGAACAATTTTAATTTCTAAAAATGCAAATATAATCAAAAAATTATTACAATTATTGCCTAAGTTGTGTTAATAATTATAAATATAAAAGAATTTTAGCAATACTTGCAAATAATACTTATTATTATAAATAAAAACTGTTACTTATTTTTGAAAATATTTATTATTTATATTGGAAATAGCAATTTAAATGGAATAATTAAAGATTTTCAATATAAAATACTAATTTGAATAATCTAAAAAATGAAATAATTTAAGTAGTTATACAGGAGCTTATATAAAATAGATACAGATATTTAAATTTATATGAAATTGATTTATTTTTTATATTTTTTATAATAATAATATTATAATTATAACTTAAGCATTATTAAAAAAATAAAAATTCATTAAGTTTCTAAAATTTTGATTTATAATTTCGCATTTTTAGATATTTACTATAAAAATTAGTAAATCTAAATAATTAAAAGATACAAAATATTATTCAAATAATATTTTTAAATTATTTACATTTTCTGATTTATTTAAGATATAAAATTTGATTGTTGACATCACTTTTTCATAATATTAAAGAAAATAAGACTGTAGATTAAATATAGATTAACTTATAATATTTTTATATTAAAAATTTTGTAATTTATTTTTTCAAAAAACTATATTTATAAAATTAATGTAAAATTATAAACTGATTCATTATAAAGAAGTACACAAACAATATTATTCAGTTATAAATTTTTTTTATATTAGCTGATTTTAAAATTCACTAGCTTAAGCTTATTTTAATTTATTTAATTAGTTTTTAAAGTTGCATATAATATTTTCAAGAGAAAAAAAAGTTGTAAAACTAAAAAAAAATAAAAATTAATTAATTTTTACTTAAAACTCTAACCAGATCAGTTTAGATCAAATCAATCAAATTATCTAAACTGAAAAAGTCAGGTTATATCAAACAAAAAGCTGATTTGATTTTAATTTTCATTTGACCTAACCTGACCTAACTGAATTGTTAATTAAATAATAATAATCATTCTAATTGAACAAAAATAAATTATTTAAAAAGAATAATATCATTCTAATTAAATAATAGTTAATTGATCTAATTAAACAATAATAAATTATTTAAGAAAATGATAATGAATTATTTTAATTAAATAATAATAAATTATTTAAAAAGAACAATAATATCAATAATATATTATTCTAATTGAATAATAGTAAATCATTAAAGAAAACAATAATAAATTTATTCTAATTGAATGATAATAAATCATTTAAAAAGAATGTTTAGTTGACCTAAATTTTGTCAGTTTAATTCAGATCAGGTTGTTCTATTGATCTGACTTAATATTAACCTAAAAATTTACTTACCTGACCTGGATTTTTAAGTTAGATCAGATCAGGTAAACAGTGTTGGCTTGGTATCTGTAAACTTAAACGATAAACTTTTAATTCAATCTGTCAAATTAAATACAAGACAATATCACAATCACGCCTATATGAAGACACAACAAAAGGCAATAGTAAATGAATTTAACGATTCCTTTATTGAACTCTTGGTTTATCCTAAAACCTCAACTTGAGTTACTTTTCAACCCAAGGAAAAATACAAGATATTTATACAAAATAAAATAATATAAAATCAACTATGACAAATATAACAAATATAACAGATATGATAAATATGATAAATATGTTAAATTGATCAACGTTGACAACTTTAACAACTCTGTCAACTTTGTCAACTTTGTCAACTATGTCGATCATTTTGATCACATGACTTATTCGTAGTGCAGTCACGGATCACGATTTCAACAGGTTAATCTAACCTCTAATTTTGATTACTAATTTTATTTATTTTGTTTATTTATTTAATTGTTTATTTATTTTTCTTAGGCAGTTTTAGATTTTATAAGACAGATTTCAAAGAATTTTTAATTTGTGACAAATACAGGTAGCTAAATTTTTTAATATATTATTTTATTTTATTATTATTCTTACAATTATTTGATTAATTTTATTTAATAAGTTAAATCAGTTTATATTTTCAATCAGGATTATTAAATGAAAATGAAACAGAATTTTCATTGTCACAGTATAGGTTTTTAACTATTTTTTGATTTTATTAGTATTTTATTATTATTTTGAATATTAGTAATTGTAATCATTATAATAATTACATAATAAAAATTACAAAAAATTTACTTTGTTTATTTATATAATTCTTTTATCCCAATTTTTTTTATTTAAAATCATATATAAACTATCATTATTCCTATAAATATTGATATTTATATTTATATTTAACTAACCAAATTTATACCTATTCCTTCTTTTTTGAGAATTACTATAGCTAATACTATATAAAGTGAATCACAACTATAGTGTTAATAAATCATAAAATTGTATAAATTATATAGCATTATTAAAAATATTAATTAACGAATCCTGATAAAAGTTGAATTTTTATATATATATACATATATTTTCCGTAAAAAAAAGTAACAGTTAATGGCTAAATACAACGTGTTGACACAATTTCTTGAAATCTCGTCTCCATGACGTGATGGAAAATGAATTATTCACAATTTTTTAAGGCCTTTACTAACTTAGTAATCAATTCTTTAACTTTTTGATTTAATAGAATTTCTTTAAATATTTTTTTCCAAATGGTTTTTGTTTCCTGTCCTGTTTTATCCATTCAATCCCTCTTGCAACACCACCTGTATTTCTCATTCTATTCATCATGGTGACTGTGTTTAATTTATTATTCAATTCTTATTTTTTTAGAAAAACAGATTATTTAAGAATCATTATGTGTTTGTGTTTTGTTAATTTCCGGATAGGGATTGGAATTGATTTTATTCTTTAGTGACGTATAAGTGAAGCCATAATAAAAAAAAGTTTTATTTAAAAAAATTTGATTGATGCGATGATCAAAAAAGCAACAATGCAAGAACCATTCCTAATTATTCTAACTCAAAAGAGTAAAATTGAATATATTTGATCGCAAACCAGAAATTTATACAAAAATTAAAAAAAAATGAAACTAAATAATATACAAAGAAAAGCACGTACCGCGTATTTCGAAACGATCCAAGCCCTAAAGTGGATCTTTAAAATTAATGAAATGAATATCGTTCTATCGCTGCGGCATAAAGCGAAGAACTAAATTAAAGGAAAAAGTATAAATTTTCACCATCCGACTATAATTGATTAATAACTCTATAAAAGCCAACATCGTTTTGATTTTACATATAAAAATTTTTTTACTAATAAACAATAAACCAGGTCCCCGTGTAATTTTAAAATTTTAAAGTTACGTGAAATTTGCGTGGCCTGAGTTTCAAAATTCTTTTATGATTATTTAATAAAAAAAAAAAGAAACTGATTATTAAATAAAACTTAATTTGACGACATCACTTTGGATTGTCCCTATTGGTAGCAAAAAAACATATGGGAGGTAAGCTATTACGTTTACGGATCATATAATTTACTATGTTCGTAACTTGATTTTAATAGCAAGTCTCCCATATATATCCCGGTTAAGATAAATTACTTAACAGCTAACTTATAATTATCTGGCCGTATAATTAATAATATTATTTCCATTTTTTATGAATTCATCCATTTATTACAGTCCTTGCGTTGCTTCATATAATAAATTTATTGTCTGTTTTAATATAAAGAATCTTTCAAACATTTATGTAATGCTCCGCCTTATATCAATTCCTTAGTAGGTTACATGAGCTTTTGAATTTGAAAAACGAATTCGATATTTTATCATGAAAGGATTAATTTCTTTGGTTTTTTCAATAATTCTCGTCCGAAATTATTTTTTTTCCCTTATATAATTTGTAGAACAAAGATGTAATATTTTTTTCTAGAATTTAAAAAAATTAAATAATGAAGAACGATTGAAAATGGTTTATTTATTTGTGAGAACGAAAATTATTTTTTCAACTGAGATTAAAGTTTAGCCTTTATATAATATATTTTTTTCATTGTAAAGTATTTCTTGATCTATTTTAATGTCGAAAAAAATACTTTGTTTATAAAAATCGTTAAGGTTCGAGGGGGAAAATTTTGGTTGTGTGACACATATACAAAATGCATGCAATAGTGTCTGAAATTGAGATTGCAAATCGATTAACTGAAATTGAAATTCCAATTTCAAATACCCTTTTTTGTTATCTGAATTCCAATTTCAGTCAGTTAAATTCTAATTTCAGATACGAGAGTATCTGAAATTGGGATATCTGAAATTAAACTTCAGACAAAAAAAAAAAATCTAGATGAAAACAAGCGCGTACATTATGCGCGTATTAGGCAACAAATTGCTTGCATCGTTATTTCGTTCAATATAAACGTTATTATTTTATAAAAGGTTCAATTTAAAGACTTCTTTAAAGAAATACGAGGTAAAATGTCGTAATTTCAAATCACCTTTAGAACAATAATAAATTGAAAATTTTAATATCTTGATAATAATCTCATCAACGTGATCTTTGAATTTTGAGCGACAGTTTACGATTCCGTTAAAATACACAAATTTTTTTATTTTAGTTCATCTACCTACAAAATATTTATGTTCACTTAGTAAACAAAATTTTTATATTTATTAATTAATACAATTTAATATAATAGAACCTTATCAGCAAAGCATCGTCATCGAAACTCAAAACTCCGTACTTGTTCGAATATGTTTCGTATCGAATCCGAGGTAAACCCAATTGCAGTGGGTAGGTTATCTTTACAAAGAACTATTTCTAGTGCTAATATTTTTCAACTTTATTTTTGATTTTCAAAAAGAAGGAATTATGGAATATAGGTCTCCGCCATCTCATATTAAGGAAAATTCGTCAGCAGCACAAAAAAACAAAATCATAACTTACACTCACCAACTACACCGACAAATAAGATGAGATCTCTAAGCTTAATGTTTCAATTTGTATTTGAGTCAACTGGCCTACTGACAAACGGAAGCGTAGAGATAAAGATTTTAATCCAAGATTGTTGAAAGATATCACAACAGAAGATGAAGATGATAGAAGAGATATAATTATCTGATGACGAAGAATCTGATATTACTGTCAACGGAAAGTTTTTATCTTTTGACGAAATTAAACACGTAATTCAGAATGGAAGTTGTCAAGCGGAGAACTCATCAGAAGTGTCCTCTCATAAATGGTTCTAGTCTAAAAATAAAAGGCTGCAATTAGGTTTACATTACGCGTTTTAATTATTACACCTAACGAAGAGATCCATTAATATTTTTTTTGACTATCACTTACCGTTAACTTCCTAACTTTAATCCTTGCCCAACCTCGACAGCTGTATTTTCTTCTATTCCCTTTTCTTCTACAGCTGTAACTTTAATTCCTCCCTCCCACTATTTCAGTTCCCCACCCCTTGTTACTATCCCTCTACCTCAACTTGTTGCTGTCCCTCCTCCTCCACCTCCCGTTACAGTAACTTTACCATCTCACCCTATTGCTCATTTCTGTCATTTTTCTAGGTGACCAGAGCCGATGGATCTCGATCCACCAGGTAATTTTGTAGAAACCCTTACATTCCTCCCCTAGTAGATGGCAGAGCTAATGGATCTTGATTCTCCTGGCATTTAATTTGCCATCGATTATGGCTTTTACTCCTTTCCCTTTGTTTTTAGCTGGTCACCTCTCCTACTTTATTCGTCGTCTTCGAAATCCTCAAAAAAAAAAAAAAAAAATAAAATTTAAAAATAAAATTTAAAAAAAAAATTTAAAAATTCAAAAAAAACACTTTTCCCCTTTGAAATTTCACTAGGATGTTGACATGACCACGAACCTTGATGTATCGTATATATAATATTAAGTTGGCTGTTTTTGTTCTTTTTTTGTATTTAAAATAAACATATTGGCCACTTTATCCACACTTTGTAGTTTAGAATTTAATTTATTTTTTTATTGTTTTTTTTTTTAATTCTATTTTATATATTTTGATACTGTCTTGAGGTGAAAACTTATAAAACTATTTTTTTGAACCTATAATATTCGTATAAATTTTTCAGTTTTGTAAGTTTTGTAATAAATTGTATTACGAAAATCTAAAATTAGCTGTAAACACACATAAAGTATTTTGTACAATCATTTTTTTTAAGAAAAGAAAATAATGCTAAGCAAATGAACACTTTCAGAAAGCATTCGGAATAAAAAGGAACAATATTCCTTCCTAATAATGATTTCAAAGCTAGTGTCAATAAACTGATTCGTAATTTAGTATAATAGATTATAAATAAATCTTGATATTTGTTACTATTCAAAATGGTAAATTTATATTTAATTTATCATTGTAAATTCAGCAACATCGATTTCTTCCCCTCCTGCTTCTTCCAAAATTATTCCTGTTTACCATCTAATACTTTGATGATAAGTGATCATTTTTATTATCTTTCTTTCCCTAATTTATATATGTATTGTATACTCAAAATGAAAATTTTTTCTAATATTTATATGATGTGATTAATTAGTCCCCTACTTGAATTTGTTATGATTGCAAAAATGTTGTCTAACTCCGGGTATTGGCCTAAATTTATTTAACCGGTTAAAAAAAAATTTTAACATGTTATCTGGTTCCAACCTCTAATTTGTTTATACATCTAATAATAACAACAATAGAATAAAATAAATGATTCATTTTCAAACCCCATAACTCTGAATTCTTGTTATTTTCTTTCCAATTCTGCAAAAATATTTCAAATATTTCAAATAATTACCTCTTCTATGTAACAACAGACTAAAAAAAAAATCTTTTTATTGTAAAAATATTAAAATAATATAAAATATTACAAAACTAATACTTTCGGACACAGCTCTAGAGAAAAAAAATTATCACTGGATTTCAAAAAAAAAGCGTTCTGCCACGTTTTTTTTTTTTTTTTTTTTGTTATATATATCAATTCATGGTTTAGAGCAAATGTTATCGTTATCGAATTTTAAAATTTGTTATTTTTATCGAATAATGCCTCCTATTATTACTACATTCATAAATTGATGGTGATTAAAAAAAATTTGAATTATATGGACTACAACATATAGGTTTGATTTAACTGGTCCATCTGTCTCCCCAACGGGTCGCGCATTATATTAATTAAAAATGAAGAAAAATTGACGATGACTACATTTATTTTTCAAAATTACACAAGGTTGAATACAAGATTACTTACAGGTGGTCCAAAAAACTTGGACCATATCGTAGATCTCGATAATTGCCGTTGATAATTGTATTAGTTTATGTTAAGTAACTAGAACAGGTTGTGTAAGGCTGCCTAGTTTAATACAATTGTTAAGTATTTTTTATTAAAGAAATCTCGTGTATGTAGAGTTACTATGTCCAGTTTTGATTGTTATGTATGGATGATTCCAAAACAAAATACAAATATACAAGTACTCGCTATGTAAATAGTATCACAAATGATATAATTGCAACCATTTTATACGAGACTTTAATGATTTAGATGCTGAACTTTAAATTACTATATATACTAACATTTTTGGATAAAATAAAAATACATATAAATCGCTAAAATATTTGGATTTAAAGTTTATTTCAATTTATAAACTATGGTTATTCATTCATTTTTATTTTTGTTCTAATTCCTTCCGCAATTTAATTAAAACTTCATTAATTTTTAATATACCCCGATAATCAGGATTAATAAAGAATTATTTAATAGAGAATAAACCAAAGTATAAATGCACATTGAAAGTATGATTTTATTATCGAGACCAATATTTATGCGCTTTTTAATCTCTCAGTTGTTGATTCATATTTCTACGGTGGGTGTAACTTTTGTTTAATATATTCATTAAATGTTTATGATAAATTTTCGATATAATATTGTACTTTATTTAAAAGAATTAATGAATTTCGCAAAAATGCTTCATGAGAAAAAATTCCCAATGGATTGATAAATTTTGAATTTGGTTTATGAAAATGTGTTGAAATCTAATTAATTTATATTACAAATAAGGAGATTCTATGTTTAATCAAATTGAACAGATAAAGAGATTAAAATTTCAAAGTTTGAATTAATATTCTTTAATATAATTACAGTTTTATACAAAAATGAAAGTTAAAAAATTTTGTAAATATGATATCATCTCAACTAGGAGGAAAATATTTTTTATTCTTTTAAGAATAAATTAGTTACTACTTTCTAAAAAGAATGGAAATCTTATCGAATTTCATAATACAGACTAACCTCTCTAATTGCATTCCAATTGGACCATATAAAAAAAGACCGAGAGCGCATTAGAAATTGTAATTATAAAAAGTAAAATAATTAAAACTCTTATGTGTTATTAGAGAATTTATATAATGTATTTAATAGAAAGGTAGTATTACGACATTATTTGGTTTGCTTTTTTTTAATGTAAAATTTACCTATTTAAGAATCAATCTGATGCAAGATAAAATTTTATATAAGAATAAGTTGTATAAAAAACATAAGAATATAATATATTTAGCTAACTAATTTGGTATTATATATTTTCATTGCTAAAAACATATTAGTGTGACTTATATTATCAAATGTTAAAGTAACATATATCATAATTTTCATAAAATATAATATTTCAGTTAATTAATATCAAATTCGAATTTTTTTGAAACATAATCTATATTTTATAAATATTAATTAATTTGTGTTTAAAATAAATTTTTTTTATTAATAAATGCTTTTTACTTACCATTATTAGATTTTTTATTAGATTAGTTCTCATTGAATTCTAAAATATTATTTTCTTTTTAATAAAATTTTTTTTTAAAGTATAATTTATTGTTAAATGAAAATTTATCATATCATTATCAATATTGTCAATCAGAATTTTATCATATTTTCTTTCACCTTTTAAACATAACACAGCACAGATATTAATTAATGATTATAATAATACTAATCTGATTATAAAATATAAAATATTTACCACAACTGCTTTGACTTTTTGAATCCGAAGATTTTGTATAGTTATTAACCTACTAAATTGATTATTTGCTACTATAGGTCTAATATTCAATGATTTAATGATTTTAGTTGGATTTCTTTTTTCATTCATAATTATTTTATCAATCAAATTATATATTTTAATAGCTGTTGGTCTTTGAGTTGGATCTGAATGCCAACATTCTTGCATTATTTTAATATATCTTTCAGGTGCATTTGTAACAATTGGAGGATGATCACCATCAATAATTCGAATCATAAGTTCTATATCATAATCACTATCCCAAAAAGGTCTTCTACCTGTCATTAATTCCCACATAATCATACCGCAGATGTATATATCTGAAAATTCAGTATATTTATGATTTTGAAAAATCTCTGGAGCTATATAAGGAATAATCCCATAAGTAGGGAAACTTTGGGGGTTCTGGGACAAATTCCAAAAAGGCCCCCAATCATAAGCCCGAAGCTCTTCTAGCATTATGAATCCATAATATAGAATTCAGTTTTAAAAATCGCTCTGGCGCTCAATTTCATTATAAATCCTCTTTGCTATAAAATTTGAGCTTCGAAATCTAAAATCAAACAAACTTGATATAATCTTTCTAGCGCAATTTTAAACTCGTCAAAGATATCAAAAAAAATATACTATTTTATTTGCCTTTGAGACGATGCGTGATTGGCAAGAACCAAAGGTTCGAAGCCAAACTCGTGGAGTCTCTGCAAACCTTCTATGTATACTAATATTTATGCCATACTGCTTGCCTTTGGGAGTAGACTCGATTATTGAGAAATGAAGTGACGAAATATTCGAGTCTATGACCTTGTCAAACCAAAGATGCATACTAATTTTTGAGATATCCTAGAATTAATTCTAAAA